ACCCTTGATTCTCAGCCTTCTCCACAGAGGTGAAAATTTACAGTCAGATGCGTTTACATCCCAGTGTGAGCAGTAGTCAGAGCATAGCAGACACTGTGTCCACAACAAAGGAGAAGCACTGAAGGGTGTTCCTGCCTTTAAGGAGGCTTAAAGGCAGGAACACATAAAGGAATGTGTCCACTGCTCCGAGCACACATTCTGCAGAGGAAAGAGACACGTTCACATAAAATTTGGCCTGAGCTAGGAATAATTTCACATATGAGTGGCATCTTTCACACTAGTGAATGAAAGTGTTCAGTGCTGCACTCTAGTGCACACACAGGCTACTGCTCAGGTTACTACAGGGCATGAGTGACTACAATGCAAAAACCTAACCTTATTTGTGTAATTGCAAGCTTTTGACATTCTGCTGATACCTAGGAAATCTAGGGACAAAGAGAAATTGAAATTGAGGATAATATGTCAATATTTAGTCCTTATATAACTTATCTATAACTGTATTTTTCCTGTGCTTCAGTACTGGACAATGTAGATTTAAAGGATACATAACCCATGTAGATTGTCAGCTGTCACATAGTCAGTCAAAAATGTAACTGCATGACACAGGATGTCATGATTTCCAAGGTATTTTTAAGTTCACGTTTAAAGTTAACAGAGAAATGTTCCACCATTAATTGGTAAATGTGAAACCAACCTTTAAGTGACGGTCTCTGTACATATATTGTATGTATATCACTGAACAGCAAAGCTCAAAAAGCAAGCAGCAATAAGCAAAACATTTTTGAGATTAAAGTTTTGAATGGGTCTGAGAGAGTCACACAAGAGGTAAGAATATGGAAATCATATATATTGAGGTTAGATGATTTTTCACATGGCCAACAAAATTATGTTTGTACAGTATGTTTCCACATACTATACATATAAACTATGTACATCCTAAATGAACAACCTTTCCTAATCAATATAGCTTTTGTAGAAGCATAACACACAGGCATAACATTTCTTCCTTGTCATCTGCTGGCTTTCACTATAATATTTCCAGTTTAAGCTGCTCCTGATTGTTCCACAGAAATGTGGATTTATAAACAGTGTTCAGTGCTGTAATTTATTTCCTCTTGGATAAATATTCTATAAAAAGATTATGAGAGTCTGTACTTCTACAAAAACTTGTTGAGTCTCTAGTTTCACAAGGGAACTGATGAAGCCTCTTGGATGAGAGGTGAAACGTCTTCGATCTAGAAATCCAAGTCCAGTTGATTTCCAAGGTTATTTTCGGTTGCGGTTTACTATGACCTGGATGACTGAGAATCTGCACAGATATTTCACAAGGGATAAATCCTTTCTAATAGTGTGGGACCTTTGTATCAGCAGTTATGGACTTAGAAAAAGTATTCCATATAATGACACATGGAGCATTTATTGATCAGAGATCAACATCAAGCCCTCTAACAATGGTCAAAGACTAGAAGAAGGAGCTAAATATTTCTCAGCATCCGTTGCTGACCTACAAACGCCTGTGATTTGCTCAAAAAGCTTAAAAATGCTCAAGCAGACATATTTGTCCCCTTTTATTCTAAATGAGCCTTGTCTGAAATGACTTGTTGCCCATCAGCACCTTCGGCAAGTTGTCAGGACACATACGTATGGTAAAAGTATTGTAACAGCAGCCTCCTGTTGTACTGTATAGGATACACTTTCAAAAATAACTTACTACATAAATGTAAACCGATCAGCCATAACATTACAACCACTGACAGGTGAAGTGATTAACACTGTCTTGTTACCGTGGCACCTGTCAGTGTGTGGGGTTTATTAGGCAGCAAGTGAACATTCAGTTTTTGAAGCTGGTGTTGGAAGCAGGAAAAACAGGCCAGCGTAAGGATCTGATGACTGACTGCCGGTCTTGTTGGGTGTCCCCGTCTTAATAAATCTGATTACTGTATCTGTACCTATGAATAAAGTTACAGACTATACATTACTGGCATACTGCCTTGCACTTAAAAACCTTAAAGTGGTATCTTTAATTAGCAGTCTGTGTCGTACCAGTTTATGTATATTAAGTGTTATATCAGTAGGTGTTAAGATATTTAGGCTCCAGCTACAGTACGAGTTGTGAATGGAAATACGTGGCACACTAGGCATGAAGTTGAAAAATATTTATTACAGAAATGAACTTTTTGAATAAAAAGCATGAAAATATCTTAATACCATATCAATAATTTCTTTTCAGTTTCAGATTTTTATTGAAAGCATTACAAAAATTACAAAAAACAAATTTGGTCATTTATTGCACAATTATAAAATCAAAGCAACCCCTAAAATAATTCTTCAGAATTATTCAGTACACTCACTTTTTGCTGCTTCTACCCTGAACATGTGGACAAGCATAGCTGTTGGCAAACCTTTAACTTGTAGCTAAAAGTTTAGAAATATGCTCCGACTGCAAATAAAGGTACAAATCAAGAAGAGGACGATAGCTGGACACGTGCACATCTGGGTTTGAACAATTCACCGACAGGGTTTTACTCATTGTAAACATTGCACAAATTTTCTGAAATGCTAGAAAAGTGGAAGTTGAATATACCTGAAAAACATGAAAATCAGACATGTAAATGCCCAGTGATTGTAAAGACTTTAAATCACAGTTTGACTCAACTCCCTAAAAAAGTATACCCTGATCAAATACACACAGATTACATACATACGGATATGAACATAGTGGCTTTAACATTTTCACAAATTACACTGACTTGGCCAGAGCATTTCTGGCAGAGTTGAATACAAGAAGGAAAGTAAAAAAAACCAATGCAATTTAACAATTTAAATTAATATTGAGGTGTAATTTATTGTCTAATAAAATAAACCACAAGAATGAAAATAAAGAAACCCTACACAAACCACTCAGGACACGATTCCAGACACAATCAATCTTTTTCGTACCATTACAAGCACCGACAGTGGAGAATAAATCCAGTAGTATGTTTTATTAAGTGCCTTGATGACTGAAACGACAAGTTATTTAAATCATCAACTTTTTCCTTTAAAGTAACTTATTTGGGATTACAATTTACTCACATTATTTATCAATCCATGCAAGTCAGCAGG